AACAATTAGTCCAGTAAACTAATAGACTGCATGAACATCCGTCTCCATGACCCTGAGACCAGAAAATCTAGATGGTGCCCGACTACCACTACCCACTTCTCTGAAAAGGATCAGAAAAATATGCCGGATGGAATCTGGTAGGGCGGTGGAATGTAGAACAAGCTCAAGGTTATCAACTAGACCGGGCTTACTGGGAAGGCTCACTGAAGATTTGTGCCTCCGCTGCCAGGAGAGGAGACGCACTCGAGGGTGCCCAACTCCTACGATGGAACATTTGGTCAGAGAGCCTATAGTAGAATCCTAATTAAAAGGGGAGCAAATGCCGAACAGAATTTCCGATTCTCAATGGAATCCGGCCAATGAGACTGGATGAACGCCCCTAAACTATGAGCATTGTCTTCTTTTGAAGAATGGTCTCTGTGGGATCCGAGTGACAGTAACAACTTGACAGACAAAAGAAGCAGCTGGGGGGACAGTTACGTTTGCATCCATGGCGGTGGAATCCACTGGAAAAAGAATAGCAAGAAAAGATGCACGGCCTCGAAGACTGTAATCTGTCACTGTATGTATAGAAATTGTTGACAGGATGTATCTCTCGCCAGGCACATTTTCAACAAAAAATAATAATAATAGAATAAACTACTTGTGCATTTCATCACATATAAATGTTGCCTCAAAAAAGTGTGACCAGCTACCCACGCATACAGGTTTAACAGAGGATATTTGTATATGGGTATTTGCTTTTGCTGCAAATATGTCCATGAATGGGATGGAGCACACAGGGAATGGAGCACAACGTTACAGAAACCTCTTAGACATAACCAAGCGCCTTGAGGGAATGCATCACTGGGCCTGGGGCCCCAGATACATGGTTGTCCTGGACACTAAAGTCAGTTGGATAACACAGTTCACAGGATTGTTCTCCATCCTAATTTGGTGAGCGGCCGCTGGGGTCTTTAAAGCTTGTAGTCATCTGCAGTGCCGTTCCTGGTCTCTCCCCACCCAGGGGTAAAAAGAGCGACGACAACTGAAAGACACATGGAGACAATTCATCCACTGGACCCACAGACCGTGCACACATCTGTCTCCACACTCAGACCAGAACTACCTGGGCACCCGCTACTACTACCAACCGCTCTAAGAAGGATCCTATTAGAAGGTCCTGGATAAAGTGGAAGAAAAATGTAGACCATAAGCTCAAAAGCCCCCAAAGAAACTAGGTTTATTGGTCCAATAGAGACTGGTGGCACCCCGAGACGAGGGTCCTTAGTCATCGAACTGAATTCACCTCCCTGTTAACAGAGTCGACCATCACGATGAAAGAGGAAGCAGGCACTCTCACTGTCTCACTCTCACTGTCTCACTCTCACTGTCTCACTCTCACTGTCTCACTCTCTCACTGCCTCACTCTCTCACTCTCACTATCTCACTCACTCACTGCCTCACTCTCTCACTGCCTCACTCTCTCACTGTCTCACTCTCACTGTATCCCTCTCAGTCTCATTCTCTCACTGTCTCACTGCCTTACTCACTGAC